ATAAAGTATTAAAACAAATATTTAAAGATTTAAGAAAAATGATCAGATAAAAAGAAGAGCTGAATCCATAGAGTCAATCCACTCTGTCCTAGGAAACACAGGCACAGAAGGATAACTCCAAAATGTACAACAATGAGGTTTATGGATTTCATAGGGGCAGCAAGGCAATTAAATCACGTATAAGGAAAAAGAAGTCAGGCTGGTTTCAGACCTTTATGGCAACATTCAGTGCTAGGAGATAAGGAAGCAATATCTACATCCTCAAGAAAAAATATGTCACCCAAGAATTTTATAGTCTGTCAAACTGTTTTTCAGGATAAAGTCAACAAACATTTTTGAACATGAAAAGCTCATCAGAGACTATCATTTCCATAAATTCTTCTTGAAGAAACTACTGAAGCAGGATCTTCACAAGATGAGATCACAAGGTGAAATCTAAAACGAAATGATCCAGGGGAAACGCTTTGGTGAAAGGGATTCTGAACCTGTTTAACTGTAGGACTGGGACGAAACAAATGTGGGAATTATGGTCACAGCAGAACGGATGATTTTACAAACCCAGTAATGTGGGAATGGTAGAATTAACGAAAATAGGGATGCAAAGGGAAAGAAAAGAGGGGGCATTTAAACTCACTGGTTTCCTCATCTGTTATACACAGGGATTGAAATATCTCATTTAAAACTGATTAAAAAATCAAGTAACAGAGGTATGTATAAACATATTTAATGAAAAAAAAACACTAAAGAAAAATGAAATCATTTGACATTGAGTGCAGAGAAGGAGAAGGGGTAAAGAAAAAAGAGGAAAAGTGCTGTGTTACATTGTTCAGAATGGGGTCAACGGAAACAGTCTGGAGAAACAGAGTATCCTGTCAAGTTATCGTTGTAAAGGCAGCTGCTTGAATAAACATGCAAACCTTCCAAACGATCAGGAGAAACACACCTAGAACAAAGGCAAAGCAAACACAAAGCACGCAATATAAAAATAAAGAAGGACTAAAAAGGCTGAAAACGTGGCATAAAATAATTCACATTCATGTTAGGGCTAAACTCATCTAGTCCAAGAAAAGAGACTTTCAGATTGAATCACAAAGCAAAACTTGGTGCCCTATTCAAGGGATTTCCTTAAGATAAAGGCTTCAGAAATGATGAAAATAAAAGGGCCAAGGGATATTGGGCTAAAGCAAGCAAAATTCATCAGGCTTGTCATCATAGCAGACAAGGTTAAATTCAGGGCAAAGGTCAAAAGGTTAAATGAGACAAGGAAGGTCACTTTATAACGAAAAGAGGGATATATAATATAAGAGGGCTATTTGTGCAGAAATACCATAGCATCGTCATTTATAAAGTAGGACTCCAGAGAAATAAGAAACACAGTAGTAGTAAAAGATTTTAATTTACTTCTCTCAGATTACATCAGGTCAAAATACATCTAAGGATATGGAAGACCTACATAATATGGTTAATAAGTTATATCTCATTGATACATATCAAAATCCTTAGGCCAAAAACAGAGACTATGCGTTTTCCTTGAGTGCCCTTAAAACATTCACAAAAATTGACCCTATTTAGGCTGTAAATGAAAACTCAAATATTAAAAAAAATAAAGTAGTACAGGCAACATTGATTTCTGATCTCTGATCACAATGAAATAAAACTAAACATTAATAACAAAATCAGAAACAAAAGACCCTAACGCCTGGAATTTTAAAAACTCTCATACTCTTGCTTCAGGTTAAAAAACTCGACATCAGTGGTGGTCATTTTGTAATATATAAAAATACTGAATCACTATGTTTTACACATGAAACTAATATAATATTGTAAGTCAGCTTTACTTCAATTAAAAAAGCATTCTACATCAACCATAAGTCAAAACCAAAATTTTAAAATATTTACAAAATAGCAATCATGGAGATACATCAGAAATTATGGGCTATATCTAAGATAGTACATATCTGTATCTAAAGGCTGGGTCTTAACCTTAAACACTTACATTTACAAAAAGAATTGAAAAATTAAGCGTCCAATTCAAGAGGTTAGAAAAAGAGCAACAAAAATACCCCTGAAGAAATTAAAAAAAAAAACTAGTAAAGATAAAAGCAGAAATTAATGAATTAGGAAACAATAGCAACAAAAAATGATAGAACTAAAAAATAAATCTAAGAGCTGATTCTTTGAAAAGAAAAATACAATTTTAAACTGTAACATAAGAAAGCAAAAATATACAAAATAAGAAATTAGGGGGAAGTTAAAAAGTTCCCAAGAGAGGGACTTCTCTGGTGGCACAATGGTTAAGAATCGGCCTGCCAATGGAGGGGACACAGGTTCGAGCCGTGGTCTGGGAAACAACTACCGAGCTTGCACTCTAGAGCCTGCGAGCCACAACTACTGAGCCTGTGTGTAACAACTGCTGAAGCCCCCGTGCCCTAGAGCCCGTGCTCCGCAACAAGAGAAGCCACCGCAATGAGAAGCCCATGCACCGCAACGAACAGTAGCCCCCGCACGCCGCAACTAGAGAAAGCCTGCGTGCAGCAACGGAGACACAACGCAGCCAAAAAATAAATAAATAAATAAATTTATTTTAAAAAAAAGTTCCCAAGAGAATGCTTTGCTCTGCTTTATGGAAATACACTTGGAAATCTGGATGAACTGGACAATTTGAGGAAACTATAATTTATCAAAACTAACTCTATAAGAGTTTTAAAAATCTAAATTGTGAAATTACCACAGAAGAAATAAAGAAGCTTGTTAAAGAGTTATTCATCCCGAGGAAAGCATCAGGCCCACACAGTTTCACCTAGACAGTGATCAGACCGCACAGAACAGAAAAATTTCATGCTACTTCAATTGTTCCAGAGTAAAAGCAAAGAACAAAAGCTTCCAAATGTTGATTGTAACCTTGATTCTGAAAACCAGACAGTATTGGACATTCAAAAAGAAAATTATAGCCCACTCTCACTTTTGAATATCAGTGTAAAAATCCTAAAGTATTAGCAAACCGAATCAAGCCCCAATTTAAAAAAATATATGATAGTAACATTATTCCAGGAATGAAATAGGTTTTTTATTAGGAATTTATTGTAACTAAGACTCACCATTTCAGGGTGAGGAACTCTGCTGTCACAGGACTTCCTGAGATTACAGATACTGCCAGGATGAATGTTTCCCCCTCCCCCCTCCCCCCTGCCACCTGCAAATTCTCTGGTCTTTAAGGCTCAATCAACTTCCAAGACATAAGACATGACCCCACCCCTACGTCCCCCCATGCTCTGTATTTCTTGCTCCTGATCTAGCTCTCCCCTGCTCCCCTAAACCCACCTCCCGAACCCTTCCCATCCCAACCCAGAATCCCCTGGAATATCTGCCCCACAACCGGCAAATCCCTCTTTAACCTCAAGCACTTCGGGTGGCTCCACTTTTCCACCTCTGCCTTGATGGAAACACTGACCGTCCTGAGAACACCTAAGGACACCTGAGCCTGCTCTTCTCTACAGGGCCAGCCCACACCTCCCCCGGCACTCTTGTCCAAGCCTTCAACCGTTTGCCTTTACCACCCTCTCCCCTCCCCTTCCTGATATCTCTCTACTTTCTTGCCGTGTGTGTCAGTGGTTTCCGCATCCACGTACGTGACCTTGGTCTCTCATTTACTCCACTTCTCCGCCCCAACCCCAGGCTGTGCAATTGACATAATGGTACTCAGGGACCCTGCCTCTCTCCCACCTTAGACATCCATCCTCACATCCTGACCTGGGCCTCCGTGACCATCCTATTCCCTTACCAGAAGCTCCTCTCTAGCTTGGTTTTTCAATGACTCCAGTAAGATAAATAAATCACTGACCTCCATCAGAACTTCCAGTCTGTCTGACCCACTACTTCCTTCAGCCATTCAGCTTTCTCCCTCCTACTTCTTTTCTTGCTCAGCTTAGATTCAGCATCACACACACACACACACACGCGCGCGCGCGCGCACACAAACACACACACACGCACACCTGTCTGTCCTCACAGACAACTTCCTCTCTTCTTTTCTCAGGGCTTCTCAGCTTCAGCACTTTCGGCTTTTGGGCCAGATCTTTCTTTGTTGCGGGGCCGTCCTGTGCCAAAATTATAGGCTGCAGCGTCCCTGGCCTCTACCCACTAGATGGCGGTGGCATCCCCAGTGTGACAACCACAGTGTATCCAGACGCAGCAAGTTTTCCTGGGTGCGAGTGGGGGGAAGGTGTGGGGACATATGGCCCCTGAGAACCTCTAGCCCTGGCTCATCCCTCTACTTGCCCTCAGACTCTGCCTGCCCCCTCACATATGTACAACTTCTTAGGAATCATACAGTGTGAGCTATCTTGTTCTTTCCTGTGTAGCCCACAGCCCCTCTTAACTGAATTCTTGTCATAAATACTTCAACATCTTTAAAAAACCCTCCCTCAGTAACACTTCAAGGGAACTCTTACACCTTACACCGGCACCTGTCCTTCCCCTCCCCTCACGTCTTGACGGGTTGGTATTTTCCTTGCTCCCTTCCTTTCTCCTCTTCTGATCCTCCCTCAAGTATGACTAAGTGTCCTGCCATTCGGCCCCTTCGGCTTCCGCTAAGGTCTTAGGTGACTTCCGCGTCGATGAATGCAGTGGACACGAGGCGCACTGGAGCAGAACCAGAAGGGGGTAGTGGGGATCCCGAGTCTGGTGTTGACCCTGATGAGTCTGAGTGTCTCAGAGGCATCCTCGAGGACATGTTGGGTGGACACTGAGACTTGCCGGCGGGAGGGAGAGGGGCGGTCTGGGCCGGCGGTGCACCTGGGGACGTATGGGTGTGCGTGTGCTATGTGTGTAACTGATGCCATAGGTGAGATGAGGTCCCTTGGCGGGGGTGGGGGTGGGGGGGTCGGGGGGATGTAGAGCAGTTGTTCTCAAACCTGAGGAAACTTCAGAATCACTTGAAGGGCTTGCAAAAGGCAGATTGCTGGCTCCCCCCCCCCCCGGCCCCCATAGAGTTTTCAATGCAGCAAACCCTGCGTAGCCTCAGGGGGAGGGAGAGTTTGCGTTTCCACCAGGTCCCCAGGCGATGCTGAAGCTGCTGGTCGGGTACCATGCTTGGCGGTCCGGGCACCGAGCTGGGCGGTCCGGGTACCACGCTGAGCGGTCCGGGTACCGAGCTTGGCGGTCCAAGTACCGCGCTGGGCGGCCCGGGCACAGAGCTTGGGGATACAGGTACCATGCCGGGCGGCCCGGGCACTGCGCGGGCGGGAGACGGCGCAGGGCCGCGGGACCACATCTCCCAGGCTGCCCCGCGCTGCTCGCTCGCGCCCCCTGCCGGCGCCTCCTGGGCGCCGCTTGGTGGCGGGGGCCCCCTCGGGGAGTCCGGGAGCGAGCGCGCAAGCCGCGGCGGTTGCGGGCTGCAGAGCAGAGCTGGCCGGTGAGTAGGGGCCACGCCGACCGCCCATTCCTCACGCCTGAGCGGCGTCGTTTACGCGGGCTGCGTGTCCGGGTCCGGCGTGCGGGGTCCGGCGCGGGGCGCGGGGCTGCCCGTCACTGAGGCGGCGTCCTGCCCGCCCAGTCGGGTGCCGGGACCCGTGTCGCGGGTGGCGCGGCAGGTGGCCGGCCTCCCCTCCGGGCCGGGGGTGTCCAGGAGTGCAGGACGGAGGCCGGTGCCGCGGACACTGGGCCACAGAGGCGCCAGCGGCCCGGCGCGCGGCGGCCCCGCGGGAGCTGTCCTGAGTGCTGCGTGGCGGGGGCCGGCCGGCCCGTGGAATCCCGGCTCCGCGGAGCCGTGGGCACCGTTGCGCTGGCGGGGCCCGCGCGGCGCACCTGGAACCCGGGCGCCGTTTGGATGCCCGGTGGCCCGGGATGCGCGCAGCCTGTCAGGAGCTCAGCGGGGACGCCTCCTCCCTGCGCATCCTGGAAGCACAGTTAGTTTTAGATGCTTTCTTTTCTTTTTTTTAAAGGAAGTGGGACCCTGAATACCTCATTTTTCTTTTGTGGGCGCTGTATTTACCAGCAGGTAAGTTTATATAATAAGCGGTGTACGGTTAGAAATAACGCGTTCCGGGGAAGCTGCTCTCCCTTGCCCTCTATCGGGAGAATTTCGCGGACTGGTCGACACGCTTATCCATTAGCAGCTGCGGGCGCTGCAGGCAGCAGATAAAGTCCCGTGGAGTCGGCACAAGTCAACCCTTCCGAGCAAATTTTGGTTTCAGAAGATTTTTGTCATCTAGTTTCAAACAAGATGTTGTTTCATTTAAGACGGGGTGAGGGCAGCAAAACCTGTCAACTCTGATGCCTTAACTCTACAGCAAATGGCTTTGTACGATGAACTCGCAAAGCAAGCGGGTTTAATTTGGTGCCCCAAACTAGACCTGAAGCCTCCACGTTGAACTCTGTTTTAATAATTTTTCAAGTTGATATGTCTGCTTGTGGTGCGTAATCTTTTCTTCTGTTAAGAAGCAACAGATGTCTCTTTCTAGCGTTTGTGCTCATTCCTTGTTTTCTGTGGACCACCTTCTCCACAGTGTGGACTATTAAGGGTAAAATAGGACATTTTTGTCTTGGGCTTGGTTTTCGGGGAATGTTCCCAGTGTATCTTCACTAAGTATCTTCTTTATCAGATTAAGTAAGTTTCTGTTTTGTTGATTTTTTCCCCCAAATGCTTTTGTATAGCATGTATTGAGATGACCATGTAGTTTTCTTCTTAACATTATTAAACACAGGTGATTATTCTGCTAGCTTTTCTGTCTCTAAAATCCTGGGATAATTTAAAATACACGTCTGGGTTGTTTGATAGATTCACTTAGCTAACATTTTATTTAGGGTTCTGGTATCTATATTTGTAAGAGATTGGTATATATTTTTTCACCCTCCTCCAATTTTTGTCTGAGTTCATAATCAAGGTTATGCTGTCCTCACTGATTAAGTGGGGAAACCTTCCATTATTTTCTATGCTTTGAAGCAGAAGAACGATCTGCACCTTGAAGTGTGGCACAATCTGACTGCAGACCGCCTGGGCTGCTGGTGTTTTTTTTGTTTTTGTTTTTAAGGAAGTTGTATCAGTATTTAACTACCTTTTCATTTTTCCATGATCATTGACTTTTCTCAGGTTTTCTATCTCCAAAGTCAACCTAATACTTTATATCTTCCTGGAAAATCATTAACATTGTTGATATTTAATATATGTTAGCATAATGTGTATAGTTGTCTGTTGCAAGCAAAAAAGTCTTTCATATCTGTGGTGCACTTTTTCTTGTTCATACGTGTGTGTGCGTGTGCGTGCGTGTGTGTGTGCATGTCTGCCTTTTCTCTTTTTTAATTGGTCAGACTTGCTTAATGCTTGCTTACTTTATTAGTCTTTCCAAAGATTTATTGACTAATCCTATTCATTTTTCTTTTTCTATGTCATTAATTTATGTTCTTTTTCTTTCTACTCAATTTGAGTTTATTTTACTCAAATTCTAGACTTTGAATCGAAAGATTAGATCATTTATGTAATCAGTCCCCTTCTGACGGAGGCAAAGGACTCTAATTCCTGTGGCCTCCCATCGGGCCTTTGCTCTATTTTTAATTTAACCCTTCAAATCAGACATTACTGCTGTTATTATTATTTTCTAGGTTAATATTAAACTTATCTACCTGTTTACCATTGTCTTCACTCTTCATTCCCTCTTGATCACAGATACTCTTCTTTGGATCACTTTCCTTCTCCCTGAAGTACATTCTTTAGAAGTTCCATCAGTGATAACATATTTTTCTGTTTTTATAATATCTGAAAATTCCTTTAATTTTGTCCACATTTTTGAATTTTGACTTCACCAGGTTTCTCTAACCTATTGACTCCAAAGTTATATATATATATTTTTTCTAGTATTTTTAAAAGATACTTTGTAGCTGGAAGGTCTGGGGACTTCAATTCTGCTATATTGCTGAAAGATGAAAAACAAATTAATTTGTAGTCTAACAAACTGTCGGTTGTACAAAGTTATATGTTCATCTCAAATTTATTAATTATAACTTATATTGTCTGTACACTTACTTTTTCTGTTTGACCTATTGATTCCGAGAGTTGTGTTAAAGACTTCCACTATGATTCCTAGTTCTATTAGTTTGTGCAATATTATATACATTTACAGGCCAGCCCTAAGCAAACGGGCTGTGTGCATTTCCATTGAGTGTATGTCTAGAAGTGGAATTGCTTGGTCATAGGGTATGCATAGGCTCAGTTTTTGTAGATACTGTCAAACAGTTTTCAACAGTGGTTGCATCAACTTATGTACCCAAGAAGCATACGTGGTCGCCACACATCCTTGCCAACTCCTGGTTAATTTCTTTTTTATTTTAGTCATTCTAGTGGGTATCACATTGTGGTTTTAGCTTGGACTTCCCTGATGACAGGTGAAATTGAGCTGTTTTGGTATCCTTAAGTTTTCACACATATCTAAACATTTTTTTCTCTTGATGTTTAAAGATAACCTGCATATATGAGATTTGGGGTTTTTGTACTTTATGCATCAACAGTCATAAGTTTTACTGATTATTTGCTCATCATTGATTGTTTTATCTCTTGTTTTCCTCCTTTTTGGATTCATTATTTATTTCGATTGAATGAGTCCTTAAGTAAATTTTTTTCCCCCAGAGATTCTGTGGGTGGTAAACTTTCTGAGCCTTCACATGTTTAAAAAATATTTTTAAATTTTGCTGTTCCACATGAATACTCTTGACTAGGTATAGGATTCTAGGTTAAAAAATTCTGAATTTTGAAGATAATTCTCCATTACCTGCTGGCATGGCATCTAATGTGGTTGATAAGTCTATGCCACCTGATTCCTATTTCTTTGTAGTTAAACTGTTTATTTCTCTGAAGCTCTACAGTTTTTTCTTTTTCTCCAGTGTTCTAAAATTTCAGCACTGTTGGTCTAGGGCTGGATTTCTTTTGTTCTTCCTGCTCTGTTCTCTGTGGTCCCTTTCATTCTATAGATTAATACATTTATTTGGCCCTGGGGAAGTTTGAGGATTTCCTCATCTCCTCCATTCTGTTTATTTTCTGCTTCTGGAATTATTGTTAAATGGGGTATTAGAATATCTTAATTTATCTTTCAAGTTTCTTGTCTTTGCTCTCAAATGTTCTGTCTCTTTATCTCTGTGGACGGTATTCTGGGAGATTTCCCTAATCTAGTGTTTAGCTTTGTCCAGTCAACTCTTTAGCCGATCTGTTGAGTGTTTTAAGTATTGTTTATCATATATTTAATTTTCAAGGTTTCTACTTTTTGAAATTTAATTTTTGGAATAGATGAGATATTCAGTGTTCAAAAATTATACTGTATTCAAAGGTCTCCCCACCACCCTATCCCCCACTACCCAGTTCTCCCTCACCCCACAAGTGGGTAACCATTGTTATTAGTTTCTTACGTATCCCTCCAGAGTCTCTTTATGTAAATATAAGCAAATATGAATTAGATTCTTGATCCCTCCTTTTCCTTTTGCACAAACAGTACTACCCTTGAACCTGCTTTTTTGATTTTCGGCCGCGCCCCATGGCTTGCGGGATCTTAGTTCCCCGACCAGGTATCAAACCTGGGCCCCAGCAGTGAAAGCACCGAGCCCTAACCACTGGACCGCCAGGGGATTCTCTTGACCCTCCTTTTTAATCTCACAACGTGCAGTAGAGATCTTCACCCATCAGCTGGCTCTTGCTTTTGCAGATAGAGTCTCCCGTCAGTCTTTCCAAGGACATTTAATAATTTCTTCTATGTATTAACTCCTTCTTCTGGTATATGTACTCCTGTTGGCTTGGTGTCTCCATTTTCATGACGCTGAGTAAAACCTGGGGTGCCTTTCTTTGTGTGCTCATCTGTAATTAATTAATTTTTGGCTGTGTTGGGTCTTCGTTTCTGTGCGAGGGCTTTCCCTAGTTGCGGCGAGCGGGGGCCACTCTTCATCGCGGTGCGCGGGCCTCTCACTGTCGCGGCCTCTCTTGTTGCGGAGCACAGGCTCCAGACGCGCAGGCTCAGTAGTTGTGGCGCACGGGCTTAGTTGCTCCGGGGCATGTGGGATCCTCCCAGACCAGGGCTCAAACCCGCGTCCCCTGCATTGGCAGGCAGTTTCTCAACCACTGCGCCAGCAGGGAAGCCCGTGTGTGTGCTCATTTTGAGTGTGAGGATTCCTGTTTCCCTGCCTATCTCTTTGCTGCCTCTGGTGATTGCTGGCGAGCTGTGACGTGCTGCCGGGCGGAGTGTGTAGCCCAGGGGAAGGGCTCATGTTGTGGCTGCTCAGCGTGTGGGGAAAGCATCCCAGGGCCCTGGCCATCCCAGCCGCCGCGCCCCAGTTCATCTTGTCAGATCCCATCCCTGCCCCTCTTTCTGTCTGCTGATTTGGAGCCTGAAACCCGTTACCATTTGCCCCTGCATGACGGCCTCCTCCCAAGCTTGTACTGGGCTGGGGTTCACTCAGGCCGTCTGATCCTGAGAACTCTCCACCTTTCAAAAGTGTCTTAGATGCTTTAGTTGGCCAGTGGCCCTGTTTCTTGTTTCCCAGGTCTCTTACTGATTTAGTGGTTTAAAACCACTTCTGTCATTCCAAAGAATTTTAGGGTACCCGGAAGGCAGAAGTATGTGTTTAGTTCATTTTCTTGGTCTGATCTCCAATATTTCTTTTATCTTGAACTTATTTCTGTGTCAGGGGTCCACTGGACCACCCCCAGATTCAGTGATTCCCCAGGAGGTCTCAGGGGACTCAACACATTGCCGTCTGTATGGCTGCGATTTATCACAGTGGAAGAATACAACGCAAGGTCAGCAAAGGGAGAAGCCCCATGGGGTCGGGTCCAGGGGACCGGGCACAGGCTTCCAAAAGTCCTCTCCTGGCTGAGTCACACGGCGTCGCGTCGTGAGAACACAGGTGAAGCGCTGTCCGCCAGGAAGCTCTCTGGACACTCGGCACCAGGGTTTCTTTCCTGGGGGCTGGCCACACGGGCGTCCTCTGCCTAGCACCTATCCGAACTCCGGACTCCCGGAA